CCGGTGGCAGTAAGATGTATTGGCTGGGCTATACAGGTAGCTGGAGGAGTGGGATTGGTGTAAGATAGGTGTAACCCGGTGGGGGTAGAGTCAGGTCAGTAAGAGATGTGAGTTCAGACCCGGGGGTAAGCGTGGTAGGAGTCGGGGTGAGTACAGACGGATACTGGTGAGTGAACGTGCGTAGCATGGGGAGCGAGTCAGCGGTAGTAAGAATAGGTGTATCGTCGGTAGTGGGTGGACTAGGTGAGTCAGCCCGGGTAGTAAGAGGTCTAGGGGGTAGTCAAGGTAGTGGGGTAGGAGTGCAGGTAGTAGCACGAGAGTAGTCGAGGGTGGGGGTAGGGAGTCAGGTGTAGAGATAGGGGTAGAGTAAACGTCGGTGGGGTAGGAGTGCATGTTAGTGAAGAGATAGGGAGTACGGCGTGTAGGGTTAGGAGTCAGGTAGTAAGACGATGGAGGTAGTTAGAGGAGGTAGTAAAGTAGAGTAGGGCGTAGGAGATGAGGTATGTGAGGATATGTCGGCAGCTCGGTCAGTAGTATCGGGATTGAGTAGTGAACAGATATGTAGTATAAAGGTTGTATCGTAGAGTTAGTAGTAATGCCAGCGGTGATAGGTGGAGGTAGCGTAGGTAGAGTAGTAGTAGGTATCAGTGTGTAATACAAAGGAACAGTTAATATTAAAAGGATATGTAGTATGGAGGTATGGCAATAGAAGTAGATAGTAAGATAGATTTGAATGCGGGTAGTGGTACGAGACACGCGCTGTGCACGCATGCAGGGAACGTACGCTTGTATACGACGACAATTCAACCAACACCACTACAGCCAGCTCACCAGAAGCGGACGCGGGTACAGCGCTTGACCTTGAACCAGCTCCAAGGGCTCGGTTGTCGAGGTCATGGGCATGGCGACGTGCCGCTCGCGTGCGTACGTCACGGTGCGACGCCATCTTGCACGACCTGCCCGAGAGACAATGCGTGGGCGGGGCAGGGACGGCAGTCCCCGTGAGAGAGAACGGGAGGAGATCTCTGCTTACCTGGAGCGGCGAAGCTGTGGAACGCAAGGGTCAGTCGAGTAGCGCGGTCGGGGCGTGGCGGTTAGTTGTGTTTAATGAGTACTGGCCGTTACACTTCACCGCGCTAGCGGCACAGGAGAAACATTTTACTAGCGAGAGAAGTGGACAAGGAGGAGGGGGAGGGGAGGGCGTAGGAGGGAGGGAGGGGAGGGGTGGAAGAGAGAGGGGGAGAGGAGAAGAGGAGGAGGATCACTTGGGGAGCTGGCAGGAGAAGCGTAATGAGCGCAGTGACGTGGGCCTTTGGTGTCTACAGTCAGCCGGCCTGCGCCCACGGGAACGGAAAGATTTACGTGGTTGGGAGAGGAAGGGGGTGGGGGGGGAGGACGGGCGAGGGGGAGGCAACGGAGAAGGGCTAGGAGGGGGTCAGGAATATGGAGGAGTCAGCGAGGATGAAGTGAGGAGGAGAGAGCCGGGGGATAGCGAGGAGGGAGGAGGCAGGAGAGGCGGTGTAGGAGGTGGGAGTTCGACTCAGTACTCGCGGGCTAGGATTGGTCCTCTTGGGGGTGTTCATACGGGTCACCGCCTGAGCACACTTAGAATACGTAGAATATTCGTTTTATGATGGAGAGGAAGGCCCGCGGCGGGGCCCGGGGAGGGCTCGGGGTGGCCTGCGGTGGGGAGTGAGGGAACGGTGCAGGAGGGAGCGACGGAGGAGCGGGGCGAGAAGCGGATGGTAGAAAGGAGGCGGAGGGAGGGCAGACCCGCCTGGTGGGCCAGCCGAGGAGCGATGGCGGCTAGGAATTGGCCGCAGGCGATGCGTGTTTGGTGTTTGTTCCGGTGCACATGGAGAGAATAGATTGTAGGGGAGGCGAGAGATAGTGTCCGAAAATGGAGGGTGAGAAGCGGGGTGAGGAGATGAGGACATGGAGGCGAGCACGAAGAGGCCGGGGAGGTGAGGGGGAGGAGGGC